TATTATTTTATTATATTTAAGTATATTTTTATTAAAATATATATCTATATTTAGTTAATTTATAGTATAGCAAGTAGTTAGCTGTAGCAAATTAATTTTGTATAAATAGAATAACTTTTTGCTTAAGTTGTAAATTAACTCATTTGTAAATTACTTACGAGTTTCAAGTTATAAATAAAGAAATCAATTTAAATCTATATAAACTACTTTTCCCTTCAACGTTATTCTTCATCTAGGATTATTGTAATACTACACTAACTTACTATTGAATTTATCATTACGAGTTTGATTAAATATATCTTAAATTCTAAGACATAATAAATTGCCGAGTTGATTCAAGTATAACAGATACCTGTAAGACTTAGAGAAAACTCTAAGATCAGAAACTCCAATGTATAGAATCAACTGCTACAGTCACTCAACTTAGACATTAAGATAAACAAAAATGAACCTGGTGATAATATATACTAATTTACATTTTATATTAAAAGATATTTGATAGGAATGGTAATTCTTTTTTTTTCTTGAACAATCACTATCACAACTTTTTTATTGAATCACTAAGAACACTCTATCAATTTGGTCAGATAAATATGAAAATAAAGCTAAAAAATAAAGATAAGCATAATATTTATTATAGGCGTTTGATAAAATAAAGAATAATATACAAATGTATTTACTTTACTTATTTTCAATATATTTATCATATTATTTTATTATTATTTCCAATTGACATTTATTTTTATAAGGAAATCAGTAGAATATAAGTGGACTTATTTTAGATCAATTAAATACATTAGGTTATAAAAATTATGTACTTAGTATAATTGATGTACATTTAAGATGTTAGATTATTAGTTAGCTTACCATTTTTTAATAGTTGACTTCTAAATTAATGAGTATAGAGATTATTCTTGAATTAGTATTTTAAGAAACTAATAAATTTATGATTCTTTACTTTGAATGCTCTTTTAATTATTATTTTTAGAAAAGTGTTATTTATTATAGGTTTAAGATAGTTAAGCTGTAATGAAAGAATGTCGATATATAAGAAAATAAATTCATTAGAATCTTTAGGATTTAACAGAAACTAATTAAGTTTAGGCACTTACTTAAGAAAAGCACTAGTTAATATTCAGAAGATCCATTCTATACTTTTTTATTAAGTATTTTTCTAATATGTTTGCAAATTATTTAGTATATCTTTACTAAATTACTCACTGGACTAAAAGTTTGTTTTGTGTTATTACATATATGTTTTTAGATTTAACAGAGAAGTCAATGAAAATGAAATGAATAAACTCTGATGCGGTTTTCTCTATAAAATTAAAAGGAATATTAATTTGAAGTAGACTATTTAAAAATGAGTGGAATTGCATAATTTAAAATATGTAATTTCTTTATTAGTAAATAAATTAACTTAACCATAACCCTTACCTTTATTTTACTTTATGGAGTTTAAGAAAACCCATTGTAAATTTTAACTAAAAGTATTTATTATAAGCAAACAATATAATCATAAACTTGAAAACTATCAAAATTTAATTTTCTTTATTGGTAAATAAATTAACTTAACCATAATCCTAACCTACCAAAAACTCTAATTTTTATTTTACTTTATAGAGTTTAAGAAACCCCATTGTAAATTTTAATTAAAAGTATTTATTATAAACAAATAGTATGATTATAAACTTGAAAACTATCAAAATTTAATTTTCTTTTTTAGTAAATAAATTAACTTAACCATAATCCTAACCTACCAAAACTCTAATTTTTATTTTACTTTATGGAGTTTAAGAAACCCCATTGTAAATTTTAACTAGAGTATTTATTATAAACTTGAAAACTATCCAAATTACAACTATTTATCCACCACTCCCTCCGATATAAAAAGGAGCAACGACCACTTGATATCTCCCACAATTTACGGCGATGCTGTAAACATCACTCTTCATTTCTAGCACCCTGCTTAGATACATTATATCTAAATCTATCCGATATTAATTTGCGCCTCAATACTGCTTGTATTGGGCGCTTTTGCTTTTACAATTTGCAAAGACTTTGCAATCTGCCGCAGTCAAGTTCTTGACGTAGACCATAACCTTATAAGTAATTCTTAATAAAAAAAAAATAAATTGGTTAGAAATAAAATATTCGCAATTAGTGTAAGTTGTTTTTGATTTTTACGAGAATATCATAAGTAGAATAGTACTTTCACTTCAAAAGTGACGGAGAATTATACAAGCCAAGCACTCTTCTAAACTAATTATATACCGTTTGGTATTAAACATTCAATGAAATTAAATGAAAACTTACTTGATAACAGACACTTTTTTATAATCATTCTCCATCGTTAGAGCTACGATATATATTTATTAATTCACTTACAGTTTTAACACTCGCAACACAAAGTTAAAATAGAATTGAAAGAGTTGAAAGAAATTCAAAAAGAGTAAAATAAAATGAGGCTTGAAATTGAACGAGAATATTTAGAAAAAAAGTTTAATGGGAAGTAGTTTAGGAATGATTGACAAGAATGCAGATCTGAGAATTTCTAACCTTAAGAACTTAATGCATTACCGAAATTGGGCCGATGATTTAGAGATCGTTCAATTTAGGTTAGTTTGCAAATTTACTAAATTTAGAGCGCGTTTGAGTTTAGGATGATTAATCTCTGGATATCGCGTCAATTTGAGAGAGTCATAATATATCTTTTTTATAGTATTTGACTCGCCGTTTTATCTGCATTCCAATGTATTCAAATCTTGCAAAGCAACCTAGTAACACAAATGGTTGAAAAAGTGCCAGTGTATAAGGTTAGTTTTGGTGATTCTGCCCGGTCAAATTTGTTTAATGATATTGAAGTTCAAGAGCTCGGTATTAATTTTCATCCAAAAAAGGTTAAAGTTTTATATTGAACGGAAAACAGAAAGTTCGAGGTTTTGTAACAGGTGACTAATGTTGACAAATTCTTATTAAATATATTACTGTAATTTTCGATAATTGAGAAATTATTTGTTTTTTTTTTTGAATGTTATAATCTATTAATTATTATTTATTTTTTCAGATAACTTGAGATTCTTTCTTTGCCTTAAAGAGTACAAATGGAATAAAAAGTATATATTTAATAGTAATTTATAAAATTTTAAGCTACTAAATAATAAATACTTACATAATATTTTAATTTGTGAACCGTGAATGTTGGAAAATCTCCCGAATATTTCGATTTGAGAAAGATCAGCCTTTACGGGTTACTTTCCAGATTGCATTAATCAAGACGCAATATGTTGGGAATAAAAAAATCTAAAAGGTAAATCTAAATTTTACTTTTATTGGTCATTGTATTTTCGTGATCCATTAATTATAATTTTTATTTTTAAGCCGGGCTTCAATACCTATTGATCATCAAATGTTGGTGAATTTTCTTATAGAATATAAAGGAATGTGAAATGTGACTATTTTTTTTTATTTTTTATTTTTTTTTTTGAGAAATTTACGCGTCCATCAAAATCATGAAATTTATATTTATTTAGTTTTTTATTTTAGCAGGTTTGCGTTTCAAGGGTTATAAACTGCATCATCAGCAATGGTTACAGCATCAATGCCACCACCACCACCACCACCACCATCACCTCAGCAGCAACAACAGCAACAACAACAGCAGCAGTAATAGCAATTGTTACAGCATCAATATTACCACCACTTCACCATCACCTTAGCAGTAACAACAGCAACAACACTAGCGTTAGTAACAACAGCAACAGCAGCAATAACAGCAATGGTTACAGCATCAATGTTACCACCTCCTTCACCATCACCACCATTTATAAAATTAATTCATGCGTTTATTTTATCTCAAATTGCATTCTACTATGAAGTTCCAAATATTTGATTGCTTGATTTATATTTTGCTATTATTTAATAGGTTAGAGAGGAGTAAGTCGTTGTTTTTATTTCTTTTCATTAGAATCAATTTTGTTACACTGATATTATAATTTTTTATATAAGCAATATTTTAATATAATTTACCCTTTTCTAGTTTGAATAAAACTTTAATCAAATTTATTATCAAGGTTTCATGGTTTATTGAGAAATATTGCTCCATCATGAGGAGACAATTGAACTTGAAATGGGAATATATGATTATTTTCCGTGTAAAATTTATAATTTGTGTTAATCATGGCTTGAAACACTAATATAGAAAGTTGTTTAAATAATGTAACTAATGTACTAAAGTTTTAATGTAATTTATTTATTTTTATTAAAAATTTAATAAAATAACGGTCAAAGAAAAGTACTGCAATAGGCGAGTCAAAAAAAAAAAAAATTTTATTGCAGGTAGGTTTTTAAATATTTCATAAATTGATTGTTACATTTCTAAAAAAAGTTATCATAAAAAAAAATCCCGAAATGGTCGTTGATGATGGGTGGTGAGGTTGGTGGAGGTAATGTTTGATGATATGAAGTTGATGTATTGTTGTTGATTAATTTATAGATAAATAAAACGAAGGATTTTTAACTTTGAAAAATTAAACTGCCCAAAATATCAAGTTTATTATAATAAAATAAAAATATTTACAACAAATTCAACAATAGAAATCTAAAATAAGAAACGTAAAAAAAAAAAAAAATACTGTCACATGATAAAAGTTTCTTGTTCATATTTTCTTACGTTTACACGTTTTATCTTGATA